GGAGCTTTAGGCTGTCGGGGACCGCTAGGGCCGCTGTGATGACCCCTGCGTTTGCCGGACCGTTTGCATGGCCGCAGCTGCTTCGTGCAAAACCACGCGCTTGACTAATTCTCCATCTACCCTCCGTTTCGTAGGCTGGCTGAGGTTGGAAGGGACCTCTGGAGGTCACCTTGTCCGACCCCCTGCTCGAGCCAGGTCACCTAGGACCAGGTCCAGACGGCTTTTATCCAGACCTGCCGCTCCTGCTCTGTGTCGAGCTGCGCGTGGACGGACGCTCCCATCCGCACCGGCTGGGCCGTCCGCGCTCTTTGAGGGAAACGCCATCTCCTCGGCCGGGCCTCCCGTGGCGTGACTGTCCGGTCCAGAGAACTACAGGTGAGCAAGGAGCATTGCTTGGCTACAGTGTGCCGTAGCCCCGCAAAAAGCGTCACGAGCTCGTTCTCCTGGGAGGCAGCGTTCTTCCCTTAGCCTCACGCGGTCATGCAATGGTACCCGACCTGCCGACACACGCGCGTGCCCGGAGCGTGCTGAGCTGCCGCGTCGCCGCCGACTCAAACGAGGAGGATCTTTCAGCAGATGTCCCTGCTGCCTGCTCTGGACGTGGCCCATCGATACCTTGGGGAGGCAGCGTCAGCTTCCCTCTGTCGGAAGTTAGGGACCAGGGAGCGACTCAAGGAGGAGCTGCAGGGGGAAAGGAACCGTTCTGCTGTTTCTTTGTTACTAGCTGTGGCACAGCCAATTTCCATTTTATTAACTCAAATCAAAGTATAAACTCAGCCTTTTTATTGGTACTCTTTATTGCGACTGTTGAAATGTCATGTAGTTTCGAACTATAGAGCTGAACTGATCAGACAGGTAAGTCATATAATTAATTGGAAGACCCTTCCGTGACAATTCTATGTATCAAAGCCATTCAAGTGAGAAAATGCAACCTTGAAAAATGAAGTCGAGAGTTTAGTCGTTGCTGAAACATACAAGAACATGTGTATTTAGGTATTTTACACAAAGGAAATCTCGTTTACAGAAAAGAGACCTTATTGATTATCTGATACAATCGAGTGCTTGTGAAATATAGTCTCTTACAGAAAGTATTCCATTTCTCCATGATACAGAGACCTTCCTTCAGCTCGGAGTGCCCTCTTTCATATTCACAACTTGAAGCAGATAGTCCATCATCTAATAAAAAGAGAAAAATATTATTCATAGACCAGTCCTGAAAAAAGTAATTCACCAAGTTAATAACCCTAATACATATCTGCTCCGTGTATTCACATAACAAACACATTCCTAATAATCTTTCCAAAGCAGACCTCATTTGTCTTGGTTAGTGTAATAACCCACTGCCAAAGTACGAGGAAAGTCATTCTCCCAAATAATTCCGTCTGCCATCCCATTTATATAGTGCCTCATTAGTGGTAAAAAAGCCAAGCCACAGAAACAATTTAAAGCTTATTTTCCAACTTACTTTTACACTTAGGCCAACTTGCAGGAGAGATTTCTCTTCTGATCTTTAACTACTTTAACTGTAACTTACTCACAGAGTAAGGAGCAGGCAAGATCTTAATTTGCCTGGTATTAACCGAAACCAGAAGAAAATAATGCTGGTGCACCACCCTAAGCCTCATTCCCAGAACTGTTATGCTCATCTCTTTGGCTTTTTTTACTATTTGTGTGTTACAGTACTTACCCTGCTCTGGATGAGTCTTTTGGAAAGAATTTGTTTATTCTTGAGAAATGGACCGCACAGTGTGAGGTGAGTAATGCACCGAACGAATTTGAGCTACTAAGCAAGACCATGAATTGAGTTACCCGAAGTACATATCTGTATTTACTTCTGCAGCCTTTAGCTTTGGGGATTTCTGTTCTTAAATTGGAAATTAAAATTTTAAATTAAATCAGCTAAATTTGAAAGAGTCCATAAAGTCCTCATAATACATTACATTTCTTCCCAACACGGCCTGTCTTCACTTATGTTCAGAAGATGGGAACGTAGGGTTGCACACACACACGCACACAGAGACTCCTCGTGGTTAGCATCTCCGCCAGCGCATACTCAGTCCGTGAGAATTCTATGAGAATTACAGCCCCCTCGCTGGTGATAGGGTCCTGGGACAGCTATCCCATCAGCTGACGGTAGGGTTCACGACTGACCTTCTTTCGGTCACATTTCAATGCCTCAGTCCAACAGGGCATCTCGCCGCGAAGAGGCACGCACTGTAAATACGGGGCCTGGTTCCTGCTGGTAGCTACGTTCACCATTCCTGCACATGGACACCTTCGTTAGCTGCGGCACAGCAGCACCTTAAACGAAGGTGTTGTCGAACCAAAGTTTGTGCGACACGGAACCCCTCACATCCCGAAAAATCCACAGAATCAAAATCCAAAGGTCATTTATGCTCTTATATCACTGTGTACATGTGTGACTGGATTTCATATCTACACCAGAATTCCACCTTTATAAATAAACGAGACCTCCTTTATTAAAAATACCATTTATCATTGTTTAAACGTTTGGGAAACTACCACAACCCTCAAAAAAGTAAAGCACGTTCCTTTTGATCTTTGGGTCTTCCTCACCCGGAAGGCAGGTCTCAAAAATACGTACAGCTCGACTTTCAGGTCCTGGGTTTTTACTTTCCGAAGCCAAAGGGAAAACAATACCTCGTATCTTATCTAGGCTGCGTACAACCACGTAGTTGTGTCCCACAGCAGGAAAGCACAGGTTATGTTCTGCTTTCATGATTATGTTTTACTTCGAGATGAATGCTGGAAATCAAAGGTTCTGTGGCAAAATGAGGTTCTGCAAGTTGTCACATATCTTAGTCTCATGAAAGACATGATTTTTTTTTACTAGCCATTGGAGAAATCTGGATATTTAAGGCAATAGTTATTCCACGTATACGTTCGATGTCTGACCGCAAAAACGTGGATGTTAATTTAGGGTAAAGTACACACATGGATATGATTCAACTTACCGGAGGCAACTTTCAGCCTTCGCAAGTACGATTTATTACCAGATACTTTTAGAAGTCAAAATACTTCCCTCTTTACATAGCATAATGGAATTTGTTCATCTAATTTGATTACAAAGCTGCACACTGCAGAGCTGAAGATGACATAAATAGTTTCATTTTTACATAGTATTAATCACAGTTATTATAAGCATCACTGCCATAAAGCAATAGCCAGAAAGAAACCTATGGGCAGCGTTCATATCCATGGTGTAAGAGACTTGAACCACGGCTTCACTGAACGGGTAAATTTTTGCCCCTATTCGAGTCAAACCCAAAGTATTCACTGACTTCACCGCACCAGGATGACAGGAGGGAGACTGGGCTGAAGTTAGCCCAGGAATGTTAACTACAGCACATTACAGGAGAATACGGGAAGAAGAGAAATCTTCCCATTAATGTCCTTGAGGGGGTGTGGTACTGTTTTTATTCTATTTCAACGTCACCCAAAAGAACTCTGCTGCTATATCACCATTGCCGTACCTCAGGCATTATAAAGGAGTTTTCTAGTAAATTCTGCAATTTACATTATGTCATTTAGACCCTGGTTGCTTTCTGTAAAACCTCGCTGATATCCTTCCAAGTGTATTTTACAGGATTTTCCAAAAGAGGAGGGGCGAATCTGTTGTGATCTTGCGAAACAGTGCTAATAAGTATGTCAACCTAAAGGAAGAAGGGGTGGGTCCCAGGCACACACGATAGCCGTACCTCAGTAGCCACAGACTCAATTACCGAGACAACAAATGACCACAGTTAGTGGCCAGCACCATCGGCTGCGGGGAAGAGACTCGCGTCAGGCAAAGACAGAGCCGGGAACCAGAGCAGCTCCCACCCCAGCTGCCCCATCCTCACGAGCCAGACAAGGTAACGGCAGAGGGCACAGGCGCCGAGGGCAGCAGTCCACATGGCGCGGCTTTATGCACGACACTCTCGGCCTTCGCACCAGCTGGTTTCCGCTGGGTTAACACAGAACTCGGCGCTGACGTGCTCATCTGAGCATGAAGTGCTAGAAGAGAAAATGGAATGGCCAAGCAAACTGAAGGGAATCCAGATGCTAAAATCTGCTCGATGCTTGCTGAGTTTATGCCCAGTAGCAAACTAATTCACAGAAAATACAATCTGCGAGTGACAATCTGTCAGCAAGATTAAAGTCTTACTTTACTGAATGACCAGTGCACGAGATGCGTTCCTGCTACGTTTCCGGACAATCCGCAAGTTAGAGGAAGCCGGTATGTTACTATAAAATGAAATTGGGATATATGAAGTGTTTTTACAGGTTTTTATCTTACTTACGTCTTTCCAACTGCTATTGTCATCTGTCTCCCAGGTGTTCCTGGTATACCAGGGAAGCCCTCCTTTTAAAAAGTGAGCACTTTTATTTTCATTCCCTTCCAGCAGCCGTAGCAAATATTTTGAGATTTCTTCCCACTGCAGATAGTCTTCCAGCTGCTTGATATTTTCAGGTAATGCTGAAAACGGGGTCTTATTTTCTTCTTCATAAACATAAGGAAAATCTCCCGTGCTCTTTTTCCCCATTAAATGTCCTGTAACAACAAGGACAGTAGCACGCAATGAACCAAAACAGGTATGGACTCGATTGTTCGAACATCAGCTGGAAGCTGTTACTGACAGTTCGGAGGGAAGGGAAGGGGTCAGACGATGAATTACAACCGGGATCGGAGATTTTGTCACAGTTTCACACACAATTAGTTTCCTCTGTCTCATGCTACACGGTCAGAGATAGCCAGGCATTTTGCCTGGAGCTAGGAAGAGGCACCGGGTAAGATTTGCTGGAATAAGAAGTGGATGGAGAAGCTGCAGGTTTTAGGTTTTTCCCTGCCTTGGCATGGGATGTGGGAACTCCAGCGTAAGCCTATGTGCCAGTGCCCTTCTAGGGGCTAAGCTGGACGCACTTTTGATACACCACACTTTACAGCCGTCAAAATGAAATAACAGTGGGGTTTAGGCTGCAAAGGAGGCTACTGGGAAGGGGAGAGGCAGCGCCGGAGGAGCCTCCTCCAGGCTGCGCGCCCCAGGGCCCCAGCTGGGACCAGGGCTCCCCAGGGTGCTGCCTGGGGTGCTGGGGACCTCGTGGTCCCGCCCGGCTGCCCTCGGGCTGCAGTCCGGGTCCCC